ATAATTTCACATTCCAATATTTTTTTATTGTCATTTTGAATTTGAATTCCATTTAATTCCAATTTTTAATTCGCTTTGACAAGCATTTTTTAATTTAATGGAATAAAAAGTCATGTGTAACGCAAATTAAAATTTGTTAATTGAATAAAAAGTTTAATTTTCTGTTACCTTTTATGATTGAGCTTTTGATTGAGATACATAGAACTGACCTCTCTGATTTGAATCCCATATAACATTTTCTTAATTTTGTTCCTGGATGCTTTAGCGATTTATTGATTTTTTTTTTGTAGATGTAACACCAATTAGCAGCATTTGTTTAAAGATATCAACAGTTTCAGTATTTTATGTATCTATAAATCTGACCATTATAATCCTTGAATTTCTTCTAAATGCAAAATAAATAAAATATGAAATGCTTTTATTTTTAAATCATTTTTTGTTAAACAGAAATAAAATTAAAACATTGTTGACAACTATTTCACAATTGTTTTTTATAGTCAATTGGGTTTTGGTTTACGAATGATTGTTGTACAATCATTTTTTTAATAATATTAAGTATACTTAAATAGGCTGTGACTCGACGATGTCTGATTTGAGATTGATGATCTTTTCAACACTAAAACTATAGTAGAATGCAAGCCAAATGTTGTTACTATGCGATTAATTGGTAAAAATTTCATAATGGCCGCCACCAAATGGTTTAACAACTTTAAGATACAAAGTGTCCCATTAAGAATGAGACATAGAACAACTTAAAATTTTCTGATTCGAATTAGGACCATTAAAGCCAACGTTGTTACTATACATATACGCGGTTCTAATTAGTCAAACATTCATAATGTCTGCGACTAAATGATTTACCAAATTTGAGATACAGGGTGTCCCATTGAAGATTTTCTGATTTAAAAGACTAATAATTAAACATGCTCGGGTAAAATCTTACCTATTTCCGAAATACTTGGTGTCAAAGTTGAAAATTGAAGAATTATTAAAGGTTATATTTTTTATTACTCAGTATAACAAAATACGGCAAAGATTTGGTGTCATGAGATACTCTATGAAAAATCAGTTAACTGAACCTAGAAATGGAATATGGCTTAGGTAAGTGACGCTTTTATAAAGAAAAACTAAGAAAAATTCACTCATATTTTACAAAATATAATGAGCGACTGTTTCTATTTACGTTATTCTTGAATCCGCTGCGTTCTTATTAAGAATTGTTAGCAAGAAATATACATTCTAACTTCTAATAAAAAGTGTAGATGGGAAAAATTCACTTGTATACCTTGATGGTGGTTGAGTAAAATTAGGAATTCAGAAAATAGCTTCATTTACACTAAGTAAGCAAAATTAGAGCGCACTTGTACTAATCAGTTCAAAAACTAGGTAAACCAAAAGTCTTTTTAAACACATTTAACCCTTCTAAATTTACACTACCTTCCAAACTCTACCTATGACCATGATTTAAAATTTTTGGAAGTTTTATCAATAAATCGTGTATTTTTGTTGGAAATTTGTAACGTGATTGGTTTCCGAAATATTTGCTATTTATTTTAATTTATTTTAAAATTTTGAAATTGCCGTATACCACTGTCAAAGTTTAACTATTTCTCTGTTGTTAAATTTACCTTATATTCTACGTCCAATTCTTAAAGAGACATTCTGCATATTACTCTTATTTCTCTTTGACTTTAAGCAATCTTATGAGTTAGATATAGTGTTTGAATTCTTCAATATTTCTTTCTAAGTTAGTTTTAAAATAATTAAATAATGGAGGAAAATGCAGTAACAAAACCAAATGTGGTATATTCTTTGTAAAAAGTGATGTAATTATTCTTGTTAATGGTGTGGCATGTGACAATACCGATCCAGTTGCGGTCTATAGAAATTATGAAAAAATTTAACTTTGTTTAAGTTATGTATTCGCTCCGTGCGCGACAGCAGCGCCAATTCGTTTTAATACTAATGGACTATTTCTGCGTACACTGACAAATGCAACTTTTAATAGAATTCGTAATTAAAAAGTATATATGGTAGTTTTATTAAAAGTATATGGATTTGTAAAACAAGTAAAACATTAATTTATTATTATTATATATTTTTATCGCTTAAATTAAAGAAAATTATGTATAATCGATAAAAATGAATAATAAAATATAGGCAGGCAACAGTATTTACTGGAAATTGTATGAGAAGTTGCCTAAGTCTAATAAGTTTTCATTGAAGAATTACTCTAATCTGTCAAAATAAAAAAATTCCATTTAATAATAGCGTGAAGTTAAAATGTATAAAAGAAGGATCATTACTTATATTTTCATTTTTGTTCGAAAGAAAACATAGGATTAATGATTAAAACTGATTTCCCATCAGTAAGTTACAAAATTGCGTTCCAACCACATATAATATTCAAAGGCAGAAATCTTGAAATCTAGTCCTTGCTGAATGAACATTTAAGAATAAGGGATATTAAAGAACATGGTAAAATGATAATTTATTGTTAATTTAAAACCTTTCAAGTTTCTGATGTCTACTATTTGCAGCATTACGGTTATTATTACAAAAATAAAGGTATTTTTTCTTATTGTATATCTATCCATTTATTTCTTTGATTTAATTTCCACTTTGCTACTGAAATTTTTTATATAAGTTTCACTGTTTTTTTTTGCTAGTATTTGTTCAATTTTCAACACAGCAACTCCGGTTGCTTATTGTATTGTTTTTACCTACTTTTTTTTGAAAAAAAGTAAAATGTATACGTGTATTTGATATGCCAAAATTACAAAATATCGTCCTAAAATGCACGAATTATCCGCAGCTAGCGCTAGTATCGCTTTTGCTTCCCTTTCCATGACTTCGCACGGAGCGAATAGGGAATTTGACTAAACGGTTTGATATTATTTTTACAGGGTTGAACACAAGATTAGCTATTTATGATACAATTGTTAAAGGTAAAAATTTATTTTGTAAAAATGGCATTTTTTAAAACGAGAATAAGTTTTTAAAAAACCCTTCAATTTCAAAACAGTGTGTCTTGTGTGTTTATCTGAATCCTGCGCAATAATATACAGGGTGTTTATTAAGTACTTGTACAAACTTTAAATGGTGAATCTTTGACTTATTTTAAGGCAAAACGTACATATGAACACATGTCCTAAAACTCTTAACTTTTGAGCTACAGGGTGGTAAAGTTTTCAGAAAAAAAATTTTTTTTTCTAATAACTGTAAGAATATTGCAGATATTTTTACGAAATTTAGTACACGTCTCCTACGCATTATGATGCATTTTTTAAAGTACAAATAATTTTATTATTTCTACCAGTGGCGCCCGTACGGGTTTCGTATTAAATATTTTTGCCGAAAAAAATAGTACGCCACTGCTTCATCTTAAAATAACAAATATTTTTGCAATCCTCATTTAGTTTTGAGCAAATTTGGTCTGATGAGTTTTTTTCTCCGTCGCATAATTTTCGTCCGACGCATAGTATTCTGCATGGAACAAAAGTGTGCCGGTGCGCCATCGTGCATGAACCACATCCTGTTACTGGAGGCCAAATTAATTTCTTCTAAATGTTCAGGAAGCTCGTGCTCCAAAAATCTTCTGTACTCTTCGCCATTTAGCCTTTGTGGAAGAATGCAAATTCCAATAAGGTGATCCCGATAATTCCGACCCAAATATTTAGAGAAAAACGATCTTGGAAATTATTTTCTATGATAGCATTGGGATTATCCTCATATCAGATATGGTTGTTGTGGAAGTTCATGATGGCGTTTCGAAAAAAAGAAGCTTCGTCTGTAACAAGTACATGGCCTAAGAAATCCGGGGTTGTTAATAATTTATTTCGCAACCAAACGCAGAAATCTACTCTGAGAGGAAAATCTCTAGGTAGTAATGCCTGTACACGTTGAATATGATAAGGATAAAGTTGTTGAGATTTTAAAATTTGCCACACAATTGTATGCGTAATATTCAATTCATGAGCAATTTTCCTTGTACTAGTTTGCGGGTCTTCTTCAATTCTATTTAACACAGCTTCTTCAATTTCAACTGTTCGAACTGTCGCAGGGCTTCCTGGGATATCAATTGTTCTTTTAAAGCTGCCAGTTTCACAAAGTCTTAAGTTAATATTAATGAAAGTTTGGACATGTGGAACCACCCGTTGAGGAAATCGGGCTTGATAAATTCTTTTTGCAGCTTGTGCATTACCGTGAGCCATTCCGTAGACGAAATGAATATCTGCCATTTCTGCATTGGTATATTCGTACATTTTGAACACAATAATAGACAATAAATTATTACATACATACATACATTTTTAAATGACAAAAACCATAATCTTTTATTTAAATAAACTGTCATGACTGATTTCGCTACCATGGAAACCTCTCGGTTGTTTGCAAGGCTTGCTATGCATGTATGTACAATAATTGTACATTTTAGCAATTTGACTCTGAAATAAAACGTATTTTATTTTTTAAAGCATAAACTATGCATCGAACGAAAAAACTCAAGAGATTAAATTTGTTTAAAAATAAATGTTGGATTTCAAAAATAATTTTTGTTTTAGGATGAAGCGGTGGCATACTATTTTTTCTGCAAAAATATTCAATACAAACCCCGTAGGTATGGACGCCACGGGTAGAAAACATAAATTTGAACATCAAAAAATGCATCTTAATGCATAGTATACGTGTACCAAATTTCGTAAAAATATCTACAATAGTCTCACAGTTATAGGAAAAAATAGATTTTTTTCTGAAAACTTTACCACCCTGTAGCACAAAAGTTAAGAGGTTTAGGACACGTGTTTATAAGAACTTTTTGCCTTAAAATTAGTCAAATATTCACTATTTAAAGTTTGTACAAGTACTTAATAAACACCCTATATGTATCCCTTTAATAACCTGCTCCACCAGTGGAGCGATTCATCCAAATAAAACCCACATATTTTTTTAATATCGAAATTTGAGATGAGATAACAAGCAATCGTATTTTGTTTCAGGTGACTGTATCAATACCGCCAGTAGGACCCAGGGATTCGATTGTAAGCGAAGCCGTTACGGAAGAGCTTGAAACAGATGTTCAAAACATTCCAGTTCCGGTCACTGTTTGTTTGGCAATAATGGTGGGGTAAGTATATATTTTTGAGATTCTGTAACTATACGTTTATGTGTTGTTCCTATAGTCTATTTTTATGTATGAGAGAGTAATAAAACATCATTTCTAATGCAAAACTTAGTACGGTCATTTTAAATATTTTTACAGATTAATCTAAATATTTCCTAAAATTGTAATAAATGTACCTGAGCTATTACAAATTTTGGGTCTTTTATTGGTCCTTTATAAACATAAGCTGTACAGAACAATAGAAAAAGGTTTGGACAGGCCAAAAGCCCTGTGTATTAAAGATTACATAGCCGTATCTTAAGATTATTTTCAATAAGTACCTATTTGCCAATTTTGTTTTATTTTAATTCCAAGAATTTCTTACAGTAATCGACATATAAGTAGATAAATACCTTCCCAACAAATTTCACCGAAAATGCGATTATAGGTTTTCCATTTAGTAAGGAGGTCCAAGTTGTGTATTCTTGACAGTTTACTAAATGTCGTTTAGTTGCAACTTGCAAGGTGCAGTGTGAATTCTAGTGTCATCATGGAAAATTTGGAAAGGCCGCGTAAATGACAAAAAATCGGTCCTTTAACAGTTAATGAAAAAATATTAATTTTAATTGTTTTAAATTATTTACAGACAAACATTTATGTAAAAGTGTTGATGACACAGTGGAATTAGTAGTACGCTTGGTGTTGGGAAATCTACGATTTACAGAGTTGTTAAAGAAGAGAAATGTGGCGAGTTTCGAACAGCACGTAAAGCTCCAGGAAAACCAAAATTTCATTTAGAAATTCTTTTGAAAGAAAGACTTCGAAGGAAAGTGCATGCGTTCTTCTTTAGAAAAGAATTTCCGACAGTAGACAAAGTTCCTGCCACGGTTCGAGATGATAAGGATTACCCTGAAATGAGTCGAAGCACGCTATGGAAACTTTTAAAAGAAATAGGTTTTCTATGGAAAAAGCATTCCAGAAAGTCTATTTTAATAGAAAGAAGCGATATTGTAGTATGGAGAAGAAATTACTTAAGGACTATAAAAGAAATGAGAAACCAAAGAAGAAATATATTTTATTTAGATGAAACATGGATCAACGAGGGACATAAACCAAATAAATTTTGGCAAGATGAAACTGTTACAAGTCGAAGACAGGCTTTTTTAAATAATTTATCTACTGGTTTAAATCCACCATCAGGAAAGGGGCGCAGACTAATAATAGTACACATCGGTAGTTCAAACGGTTTTGTTAAAGGTGGTTTATTGACTTTTGAATCTACTCGTATCGGTGACTACTGTGAGGACATGAATGCTGATGTCTTTAAAGATCTTCTTCCTCAGAACTTTATAATAGTAATGGATAATGCAAGTTATCACTCGAGACTTATAGAAAAAATGCCCATAACCAAGTGGTTAAAAAAAGATTTACAGAATTGGCTAAATTCAAAGAATATTAGGTTCCATCCCGGTTCTGTGAGAAAAGAACTGTATCATTTGTGTTCCCTTCATAAAGAGAAATTCAAATAATATGAAATTGATGAAATTGCAAAAAATCGTGGGATGACGGTGGTTAGATCACCACCATATTATTGCGAAGTAAACCCGATTGAACTGATATGAGCATAGATAAAGGGAGAAGTTTCAAGAAAAAATAATTCTTTTAAAATGAGTGATGTTAAACAGTTGTTTTTGGAGGCTGTAAATAATGTGAAGCCTGAAAACTGGAAAAAGGCAGTAAATCATACGATAAGAGAAAATGTGGAAGTTGTGCAATATTACTGATGAAATGATCGAGCCACTCATTGTATATATTGGTTGCGACAGTTCATCTTCTGATTTCGATTCTGATTTGGATGTATAGGTAAGAAGTAGTTTTTATATTAAAATTATTATTTATGAACGTAACGTTGTTTAAAAGTCAAAGTTTAAACCCTTATACCTACATAACCCGTTTGACACAATGTTCTTAACATACCTTGTGGAAAAATAAAACATTTTAGAAAAAATTGCACTTTTTTACCTTCAGCTGTTTAGAAGTTATAAGCAGGTTAATTAGGTGAAAATATAAGTGTATACCTACTCGAGGAATAGCTTCAAAAAATATTTTAACTGTCTACTAAAAGGATGGATTATGAATTTATTATTTTAATACTCTCTCATACATAAAAATAGACTATAGAATGTCTCAATTATATTTAAAGGAATGAAAAATACATCAGGAATAAAAAGGTTATCTATATCTAAAATGTAGCACATCCATAAAGGAAAGGAAAAACTCGTCTTAACGTCAGAAAAAAAATTTAACAAGGGTTGAGTGCGACTAGTTTCGGTCAGTGACCATCATCAGGCCTGTAAGAAAAGTGTGTTGATTAAACGTGATACAGAGTTGAATGAAAATAGTCTAGTACCCGGTTTGACTTCCATTACCTTTTCCATCCGCTGTGTTTACTCTTGAGTCTCACTTAGAAGATTTCTTACATATTATACTGAACACGTTTATTGAGACGTTTTTCTGCTATTTCGGTGTCTATAACATCAGTTACCGATAGGATTTATACCTTTTTCATTTTGGAAGCACTTTAATCGCCTTCTGGGATAGAATCTTCTCTTAGGCTCCATACTGTAGCTGATCCTCAAGTAAATAGTTTCACTGTCCCATATTACTTTGTTTAAATTAATTTAAAATGAAATATATAATTCAAACTTATAGATAATATTGGAAATGAAAATATTGACCAGGCTCAGGCTTTTATTTTGTAGGTGTTTTCATCTTTATTTGCTATTTTAAAGTAAACATTTAAATAATTACTGTATATTTATATGTATAATAAAAAAAATGTATTCATCTTATTAATGTATTTTAGTAAATAATAATTATTATTTTATATTATTATTATTATTAGTTTTGAAGATTTTATATTTGGTCCTTCACGGCCTTTCCACTCTGACAAAGTTGTTATCACTACTTTATTAAGTCACCCCAGCCTATGAGGTTCTCTTTAAGTAATTTTGTTTTACAATGTTAGTACCATACGGATACTTGAAGGGTTAATGAATAGTAAAATATAAAAGTTTAAATCTGTCCTTTGATCAAACTCAATTAATTAGCTACTTATTGAATAATACTTACTTAGTTTTTTTTTCACAACGGGTTAATATATTAATCAGTTTTTAGTTTTAAGTGGATCGTATCTTCACTCAAAAAACATTTTTTTTCTCACATGTTACAGCCTTACTAAATACTTTAGATTTTTAAATATTGTTCACCTACTATTTGCCTTCAACTTTGTATCACGTTTTATCAACATACTTTTCTTACAGGCCTGATGAAGGCAACTGAAACTAGTTCACCTCTGTTAAATAATTTTTTTTGTGCTTAAGACTTTGAAATATTCATTTTCGTGTTAAATTAATGGTATATTGTAATGGTTTTTCCTTAATCCTTGAGAAAATACGCTTACGAATGGTGTCCACTCGGTCGGTTACTCGGGCTCTAAATTATTTGAATAAATTTACTCTATAATCTCTTGATACGTGTATAAAGTACTGGGTCAGCTTCAGATGGAGATGAAAAAATCCAAAGTTCACGTTAATGTTAGACTATCTAAACTGTGGAAACAAAAACCAAGCTTTAATCGTTATTTGTGCCAAAGGAAGAATTTTGTAGAGTCTAAAAAAAAGAAAGTCAAGGGCGGGCAGGGTTTAATAGTCGCAATAATATGCCAGTTGTTTCAATTTATTCACTCTAAGTATTACTGAAGCTATACGAGAATGTATCAGAAAATAACGAGACTGGTCCTATAATATAACAACGAAACATTTATTTAAAAAAATTCAACAAATATCCTTCGAAGTACTCTTTATTATGTTGAATACACTTATTCCATCGCTTTATCCACTTATCATAAACTTCTGAGAAACCATTTTTTGATAGTCTGTTTAGTATACCCATCACAGCGTTGTTGAACTCTACCTCTCAATTCTTTTTTGACTTCAGGAAACAAATGGAAGTCACATGGAGCAAGGTCAGGAGAGTAGGGGGGATGAACCATAATTTCAACCCCTAATTCTTCAATTGTTCGTTGACAAATCATTGATCTATGAGCCGGAGCATTGTCGTGATGCAGCGTCCAGCCAAAGTCCTGATAAAGTGGCCTTTTTTTCTTTAATTTTGCCTTTAAGGGTCCTGGAAGTACATTAGAATAGTACTCCCCTGTTACTGTATGTCCTCTAGGTACAATGTGATCGTAAATAACGCCAAATTTATCAAAAAAAATCAGGTGCATCACTTTACCAGCGCTTTTAGCAGTTTTGGCCTTCTGCGGTCTTGGGCTGCCTTTATGCTTCCATTGCATACTTTGAGACTTCAATACAGGATCGTAATGATAAAACCAACTTTCGTTACATGTAACCACATTATTTAAAAACTGTGGGTTACGTTGCAATTGCCTTTTCCACTGCTGACAAAGTGTCACTCGATTCGCTTTTTGTTCATCGGTCATCACTTTTGGAATCCATCTTGCCGCGATCTTCCAGTACTCTAAATCTTTATGAATAATTTTTTGAGTGGTACCGTAAGACAAATTAACATTGTCAGAAATTCGTTTTATTTCAATCCGGCGATCATTTTGTATCAAGTCGTTAATTTCTGCAATTTTTGTGTCATTTCTCGCAGTTTGTGGTCGACCGGGACGAGGTTCATCTTCAACTGATTCACAACCGTCTTTAAACTTTTTATGCCACTCAAACACTCTACATCGTGATAAACTATTATCTAGATATGCACATTTAATCATTTTAAAAGTTTCAGTTGGTGTTTTACCCAATCGAACACAAAATTTTATCGCGTATCTTTGCTCCACTTTCATTTTTCGATGGGTACGCAAAACACTGACAATTCAATAATTAATTTGTAACAAATGTCAAAAGTTAAATCAAAGCCTACTTGCGGGGTAGTACATTAAATATAAGGCTTTAATGTCTCATTTTTTGGGTTATAAAATGTTACCTCTGAAAGAAGTT